CGAATCAATAACGAATCAATTACGAAATTGATCAAAAAAATTCGTTTCGTTATTTGGACGCTCCAGAATGGTTCGTTATCGGTTCATAAGCTAATTTAAATACGAATCAATAACGAATTACGAAATTAACGAACGAAACCGCCCAGCCCTATATTTTTTGTCCTTCTGCTGCGTTTTTCTGTGCTTTTATGAAGGATGGTCACTCGTTGGCCTGATAGGTGTACTGTGTCCAAATTTGGTGTCAATTTGTCTGGTGATTTTTGAATTATGTTAATCCCGTAAACAAATATTACATTTGTATTTATATAGATTGTTATTATTATTATTATTATTATTATCCAAGAATGCCAGATCAAATCTGATTGGAGCAATAGGAAGGAGGGAGAGGGCGTGAAGGAAGAGACCTAAGAGGGCAGTGGAAGAAGAACAGGGAGCTCTGTTAGATTTGACTGGTTGGCGTGGGAGTATATCAAATGCAATGGATGACCAGGTTTACGATGTCCCCCTGCCTATGGATAATGCTGGACCCTCTCCCAGGATGATATGGCGGTGTGGATGGGACCTAGGAGTCCGTCATGAGTGTTGACCATGGAATCACACTGCTGGACACAGAGACTTCCAGAGAGAGGATGTTTATATACTGAATCTGCAGATAATCTGATCCACAAATGTCAAATCCAACTGAACAAGGGAAAGGGAACATTTCCACAATTTTAGATCATGGTTCCTAGATATCGAGCCCACAATCCTCAATGTAGTGATGAATATTTTTGTCTTTACAGTGGTCTCTCCAATGTGACCTGAAAGAAGAAGGCAAATGTCATTTCTCTGGTGGTTATTGGGGGTTTGGGTCACTCACACTGGAGAACGAACGCAATTTGGCCACATTTCCACTGCCATGGCTTAATGCTATGCAGTCCTGGGAGTTGTAGTTTGGGAGGGAAAGTTGTAGTTTGGCAAGGAAAGCTAAGGGTCTTGTAAAACTACAGCTCCCATTATTCTGAGAGAAGATCCCTTAGTGTTGACTTTACAAAAGATCCCAACAAAAACCCGGATTCCAATTCCAAATTGGTAGACTCACCAAGTTCCCAGGCCTTTATATTCAATGATGTGTCTCTTAAGACATTCAATATCATCTGATAAGTCTTCGTTGAGGAAATCTGTCAATATATATATATATATATACATATTAGCATGTGTAAGCGGCGTTGCCCAGGCATGCATTTTCTGAGAACAGGTTTCTGTGAAGACCTGAGTTTGGTCATTGTAAGGACTTCTTTCTCCAGCTATCTTCCATGCTTGCCTGGTACGCATTAAATGTCACTATGGCACCTGTCTTGTTCTCTTGGAGTGTTTCTCAGCCTTCCTAATGCTGTGACCCCTTAATACAGTTCCTCATGTTGTGGTGAACCCCAACCATATCTACCTATTAGGCTTGGTTGATCCAGTTCGTTAATTTCTTATCTCGTTATTAAATCGTTAATTAAATACATTTAGAAGTGATATCGACACGTTTTAGCAACCCGGAAGTGTTTTTGCCATATCAAAGCAGCGTCCGCCATCTTTAAAACGACTCCCGCCAGTTTCGGAAGTGATGTCACAGGCAGGGCCGTAGCCAGAAAAAAAATTCGGGGAGGGTTGACAATTTCGGCGGGGGGGGGGTTGAAAATTTTGGGGAGGGGGTTTGAAAATTTCGGGGGGGGGGGGTGAAACCTGCCTCCTAGCTCACGCTGAAGCAAAGAGCACAGCAGGGGGCAGAGCAGCCTTCAATAGCCTGCAGCTCCGCCCCTGTCAACCACCTCCACCAAGTCTGGCCTCCTTAATGAGAGCATTCAACACACACACACCCAACTTGGTTGCTTCACTACATCGGCTATTGCTGCAAGTAATGACAGTGTGAATAAATTGTCAATATTTGCTTGAGATAGTGCTGGCAGTTCTGGAGGGACTCTTAATTTTTTGCATCTCATAGACTTAGCATGGGGATTTGGTTAACCAGTTAAAATTCATGAGTAAACCAGGTTTTTTTAAAAAATCTGAAACATTTCGGGGGGGGGGGTTGAACCCCTAAAACCACCCCCTCGCTACAGGCCTGGTCACAGGTGCTGGGATGTTCTAGAGGGGATAGATAGATACGTTTTATTGATTGGCCTATTGGCCGTATCAAAACATTTAACACATAACACAATTAACACATAGTCATACATAGTCATACATACAACATACAACCCTCGGTATAAAAGAAGTTAAAATAAACAAGCTGTTAACAAGATCTCGTTCAGGTCAAATGTCTGCGTCACCTCCACAGTTTACCCCAATTGATTCTAAATGTGCAATTCTCAGCTGTGTTGCTTTGAATAGAAAAAGGGCTGTTTTGTGTGTTATTTTAGGGTTCTGGCCGGCCAACAAAAATGAGGTTTTAATATATGGGTCCCAGTGTGTTTTTTGAATAATGTATGGTCCAAGGCAATGGTCTCTCTCTTTCTTATACAGCTCACAGTTGAACAATACATGTGTGATATCCTCCACCTCTGGTGCTCCACAAATACAAAATCGTTCGTTGTATGGGACTTGATTAAACCTTCCGTGCTTGTCCATTGTATCCAGCTGTTCAAAACGAGCTCTGGTAAATACCCTCCTAAGGTGTTTAGGCATTTCTGTTTTTAGATATCGAGCTGTTTGGAAAGTATGTTTAAAGCGGCCTAACCATTTCAGTGAGCCAGCTTTACTGAGGGTAGCGATGTCTTTTTGGCCTTCTATATCCAATACTCGTTGAGCAACTATTTTTGGGTCTAACTCTTCTAAGAGATTCGGATACCGAGTCGGAAGTCCACAGCTCCTAATGTATTTTGTCAGGAGAACTAGCCAAGAGGACTGATGTTGATTTTCTATCTGCTCTAACAGGCACAGTTTTGGGAGTCTATCATTTTCCAGCCAATGAGGAGAAGCAAGGTATTGGGGTGTGGTTTCTTCAGGGCGGCCATTGCCCTTTAAAAGGAGCCACGCGTGCCTTGTGGCTCCATTGTGAGCTGCGAAAGGGATGGGAAGGAGGGTCTGCTGCTCTTCCGGGTGCAGGGTGCAGGGAAGTGTGCAACCTGTGCTGGACGGGGTTACACTCCCCCTGAAGCCACCGGTCCGCAGTTTGGGAGTCCTCTTGGATTCAACGCTTACGCTTGAGGCTCAGGCGTTGGCGGTGTCCAGGAGGGCTTTCGCACAACTGAGACTCGTGCGCCAACTGCAACCGTACCTCGCGAAGGCGGGTCTGGCCGGAGCGGTCCATGCCTTGGTCACCTCCAGATTGGACTACTGCAATGCGCTTTACGTGGGGCTGCCCTTGAAGACGGCTCGGAAGCTCCAACTGGTCCAACGATCAGCAGCCAGGATGCTAACTGGGGCCCCTTACAGAGAGAGGTCAACCCTCCTGTTCAAGGAGTTCTACTGGCTGCCGTTTATATTCCGAGCCCAATTCAAGGTGCAGGTGCTTACCTACAAAGCCCTGAACGGTTTGGGACCAGCCTACCTGTGTGACCGCATCTCCATCTACGAACCCACGTGTTCTCTTCGGTCATCTGGAGAGGCCCTTCTCGTGATCCCACCGGCGTCGCAAGCGCGCTTGGTGGGGACGCGGGACAGGGCCTTTTCCGTGGTGGCCCCCCGACTCTGGAACACCCTCCCCAAATACCTTAGACAGGCCCCTACATTGGCTGTCTTCAGAAAGAACTTGAAGACCTGGCTTTTCCGATGCGCCTTCCCAGATTAGGAAATTTCCACTACCAAGTCCCATAAGCACTTTATCAGAACCAATGATTGCTGCACATCGCACATCGCACTTGCCCTGGAAGCCCTTTTTACACCCCCTGTCACATCAGCACTTTTAATCTTGTACCCATTGCTCTGGCCCGGCCCAGTTTTATTGTGTTTTAGTGTATTGTGCCTGTTGTTTATTTTGCTTTATTCTGTTTTTAATTGTTTGATTTGCTTGGCTTGTATTGTTGTGTTGTGTGTTGAGGCCTCGGCCTGTGTAAGCCGCATCGAATCCTTCGGGAGATGCTAGCGGGGTACAAATAAAGTTTAATAATAATAATAATAATAATAATAATAATAAAGTGCCTGCCTGCCTGCTTGTGGCTGCCACAGGGAAAGACAGAGACCAGAGGGTTGTGAAGAGAAGCCCTGGTTGTTACTCTGTCTGGGGGGTGGGGGGGTCTTTTTTCTTAAAAGGAGAAATCTTTTGTCTTTTTTTGCCGCATTTATTAATTTTTTAATTTGTATTTTATTTGTATTTTATTTTATTTTTTTATTTATGTATGTATTTTATTCCGTACAACTTCCGTACAGTGGCCCTTATTTCTCATCATGCCAGTAAGGTAATGCTCAAGATCCTGCAAGGAAGAAGACTCCAGCAAGACATGGAGAGAGAGTTGCCAGACGTTCAAGCTGGGTTTAGAAAAGGCAGAGGAACCAGAGACCAGATTGCCAATATCCGCTGGATAATGGAGAAAGGCAGGGAGTTTCATAAAAACATCTACTTCTGCTTCATTGACTATTCTAAAGCCTTTGACTGTGTGGATATAATAAATTGTGGCAAGTTCTTAGTGGGATGGGCATCCCAAGCCACCTTGTCTCTCTCCTGAGGAATCTGTACAAGGACCAAGTAGCAACAGTCAGAACTGACCACGGAACAACAGACTTGTTCAAGATTGGGAAAGGCGTACGGCAAGGCTGCATACTCTCACCCAACCTTTTTAACTTGTATGCAGAACACATCATGCGATGTGCGGGGCTTGATGAATGCAAAGCTGGGGTGAAAATTGCTGGAAGAAACATTAACAACCTCAGATATGCAGATGACACCACTCTGATGGCCGAAAGCGAGGAGGAGCTGAGGAGCCTTCTAATCAAGGTGAAAGAAGAAAGCGCAAAAGCCGGGTTGCAGCTAAACATAAAAAAAAAACAAGATTATGGCAACAAGAATGATTGACAACTGGAAAATAGAGGGAGAAAATGTGGAGGCCGTGACAGACTTTGTATTTCTAGGTGCAAAGATTACTGCAGATGCAGACTGTGGCCAGGAAATCAGAAGACGCTTACTTCTTGGGAGGAGAGCAATGGCCAATCTCGATAAAATAGTAAAGAGTAGAGACATCAGACTGGCAACAAAGATCCGCCTAGTCAAAGCCATGGTATTCCCTGTAGTAACCTACGGATGTGAGAGCTGGACCTTAGGGAATGCTGAGCGAAGGAAGAGAGATGCTT